ATGTTAACTTTATCCAATTTATTTTACTGCTGGTATGTTACTGTTCTGCAATTTGTTTTTCTTTTTATTATTATAAGGAGATTCCTGTTCTAAATTGATCCTTTGTGTGAAAGTATGAATTTTTTTTCTTTTTTTTAATTTTATATTTTTATTTTTATTTTATCTTCTGTCTTCCCAGGTGAGAAAGTATGAATTTAAAGAAGACATAAATCAAGGGTTGAATACTGACTTTATAAGTGAACTGCCTGTAGGGAATTTTTAGAATATTATTCAACTTAGATATTTCTAGTCACAAATAGCTTTTCAGAAGTATAATAAAAGGCACCTATATTCAGTTTAACCCCCTTTGTCTAGCTGTAACTAAAAATATCTTTGAATGCAGCATGCAAGAGCATAGCTGGTGGTTACTTTTCAGATTAGATACTTTTTGCTTTCCTGAGTAGGAATCAGATTAGATCTTTAAGTTAAATTATCTAATTAAACTATTTAAAGGAATGAACTAATACTATGGCGAAATCACTTTGAAACTGTCTTTAAAATCTTGTTAGGTTTCAATGTGTCTTTTAAAGTGTTGCTCTAGTTAAGTATGAATTTGTAACTGGAAAGGGGTAGGACCCCTTTAAAAGAAAGCAGAAATCACTTTTAAATGTTTCCACTGTATGTGTTAAAGGAAAGTCAGTGGAAAAATGCAGACACTCCACTTAAATTTACGGCCACCACCTATCAATCTGTTATCTCATTGTGGATAGGAATCCATGAATTATCCAGAGAAATGAGAAATCTTCCAATGGAAGGGAAATGAGTTATATGATCATACCACTGGCAAAGGGGCAGACCATGTGACTCATTCCCTTTGGGGGGCTTCTGTGTGTTGATAGAAAAGCAAAAACACAAAGGACAAAGGAAACTCTCTTTAATTAATCCTACCAAGTAGGCAAAATAAATAGATCCCTTGTTTCAGCAACAGAAGCAAACTGTTGACAACTGAGAAAAGCCACCTGCAGATGTTTTTGAACACAAGCTGCCCCAGAGCCCCAAAATACTATTGTCTAAGGGGGAGAGGGAGGTGTCAGCAAACTTTTTCTGTAAAGGGCCAAAAATAGTAAATATTTTGGCTTTGCAGGCCATAATGGTCTCTGTTGCTACTACTAAACTCTGCTGTTATAGCCCCAAAATGGCCAAAGACAACATATAAATGAATATGTAGGGAACATATAAACGAATATGTATGTTTTATGTTCCAATAAAACTTTATTTATGGACATTGAAATTGGATTTCATTTTCACACATCAAGAAATATTATTTTTCTTTTGATGTTTTTTCAAACATTAAAGAAATGTAAAAACCAATCTTAGTTTGCCAGCCATAAAAATAAAATAAAATAAAAAATGTTGGGCTTGATTTTGCCCATGAGCTATAGTGTACTGCCCTCTGACTTAACATAAATCTAATTCACTAGAAAACAAAAGTTGTTTTAGTTGAGTACCTAGTATGTGCCCGACACTATGCTAGGCCTGGGACTATGATGGCTAACAAGATTGACATGGTCCCCGTCCTTGGGGAACTTATGGTAAAATAATCCCACAAATATCTAATTAGAAATTATAATAAGTGGCTACGAAGGAAAAGTACAGGGTGTCTACACTATGAATTAAAATCTAGACCAGGTGGTCAGGAGGGGTTTCCCCTATGGAAGGATTCTTTAACAAGAACTGAAAAATGAATGTGAGTTGACAAAATGACTCAGGGGATAGGAAGGAGGAGTAGCCATTGTGAGTATAAATAAAGATGCTACTAGGGCCAGGTGCAGTGGCTCACGCCTGTAATCCTAGCACTCTGGGAGGCCGAGGCGGGCGGATTGCTCAAGGTCAGGAGTTTGAGACCAGCCTGAGCAAGAGTGAGACCCCATCCCTACTATAAATAGAAATTAATTGGCCAATAAAAATATACAGAAAAATAGCTGGCATGTGCGCTGCCTGTAGTCCAGCTACTCAGGAGGCTGAGGCAGGAGGATCGCTTGAGCCCAGGAGTTTGAGGTTGCTGTGAGCTAGGCTGATGCCATAGCACTCTAGCCTAGGCGACAGAGTGAGACTCTGTCTTAAAAAAGAAAAAATGCTCCTGGACCTACAATGTCATTATGTCCTGGTAAACCCACCATAAGTGTGAGAATATCTTATGTCAAAAATGCATTTCATACACCCAAACTACCAAACATCGTAGCGTAGCCCTGCCTACCTTCAACATGCTCAGAACACTAATGTGAGGCTGGTGGCAGGGGCCCCCTCCCTCCCTAGATGAAAAAGAAAACGCTTAGTGACCTGACCTTGCCAAGGACAAACTGCCAGGCCCCACTGAGAGGAACCACACCCAGGTCTCCACCTGGATTCGCTCCTGGATTCCACAATACCTCCAGCCCCTCCTATTTCTCAACGACTTCCAAGGTCACAATAGAGAATCCCAGCTCTTCCCGCCACAAGTCCTAGCCCACCAAAGGGTATAAAAAAGGCCTCAGCCCTTCAAACTGCAGCGACTCGGGCCCCGCTCTTGGGACCCAGAACCTCGTCCGAGTGTATAATAAAGCCACGTGGTTGGCTCCCCTACTCTTTTCTTTCTGTGTCTCTTTTCGCACC